TTTTATGAGCTGGTTGACATCAGGTTGGTAGCTTGAAATTGGTCATGGGGGCAGTATTCATACCACTCAAACCGGCAAATGTCACTGATCAGCCTCCCCACCCCCCACCCTTGAGGTCCAATCACTAAACAGTCACCAGCATGCCAAGGGCAGGGCTCTGATAAACCTTTTTAAAAGAATGAAATTTTGCCACTTGCAGCAACATGGACGGACTTGGAGGGCACTGTGCTAAGTGAACTAAGTCAGAGAGAGAAAGACAAATACTACACGTTACTTATTTGTGGAATCTAAAAAATGCAACAAACTAGTGAATAAAACAAAAAAGAAGCAGGCTCACAGATATAAAGAACAAACTAGTGGTGACCAGTGGGGAGAGGGGAGGGGCGAGGGGCAATAAAGGGGTAGGAGGAAAACCGGGGCTACTATGGGATTATATGAAACCGAATGTGAAGCTTTTAAACATTGCAAAGCACTATAGAATGTAAGGAAAAATAAGTGAAAAAAATTATGTGAAATGTATAATTCAGCTTTATGAAAATTCTTTGAATCTTATCTCTAAAATCTTAGAGGCCCTTAAAAGGGCCTCCTATTTGAAAGGGATTTTCTTGGCTTCTCTTTCTTCTTATGTCTGGTCTCTTTTGCTTCTGAGCTTTCACAGCAACAAGTATCCCACCAAAAATAAATGTACTAGTAATAGACGTGAGATGTCTCCTTTTTTGTTTCCAGAGTGTATTTCCTGTTGTGCTTTTCTGTCCCAGATTTGCCACGGCAGCCAGTGTTTGAGGTTAACTGAGCTACCGTATCGTATCAGGGAAAATGATTCCGTTTCCTGTTACCCGCTTATGAACCTAATTCTGCAGCTTCTGCCTTGTCAATCGGCCCTTCCAACCCCGGTTGCCTCTTTTCTCCCCTGGCCATTTTTAGAAATTTCCCCAGAAGCCTCTTCATGGCAATCTCATCACTGATGGAAAGTATCTTGTGGGCTTGGGGTGAATGAGAAAGAAATAAGATGCCGTGACCGTGAGTGATGATGTCCCAAAGAACCTTACTCCACGGCACAATGAGGACTAGAACCCAGGTCTCTCTGAACCTCGTATTCTCACTAGCAAACGTGCGTGCTTATTTTGATGCTACAGTACTAGTAATTCCTTCTGTTTTCACTTTCTGGAATTTAGGCCAGATGGTGATTACAACTTCACTCAAAAATGTCAAGCAGAGAAAGAAAAAATGACATAAAATGTATTGGTTCACATCTGGGATTCAGGTTATCAAGTAACATCACCAAGGATCTTACTCTTTATCCCCGGAATGTGTTTTCTTTCCTCCATCCTATCCTTCTCAAGCAGGCTCTCCCCCAAGTGACGGAAACCTTGGAGCACCCCACTCACATCCTACCAGTTAAGGAAGCCCAACAAAAAGAGAGAAATGTCTCTGGAAGGTGCTGCTTGGTCTAGCACAGGCCAACTGCTTCATTCCTGGAGCTGCGGGTTGGGGTCAACTCCATCCATGCTGCCAAGGAAAATTAGGGTGCTGGTATTAAATACTAGCAATAAAATGAGGATAGACAAACACAACAGATGTCCAAGAGAGCCGTGATGGAGAATAAAGGCAAGTTACGCCTGCCATTAACACAGCTGCACTTATGCACAGAGATGGTGCCAATACGAGGAATTCCACCTTCCAGCTTCCTAGCGCGTCAGAAGCCGGAAGAGACATTTCTGAGGTGAGCCAGTTAGCATGGTGAGAGCATGAACATTGCTGGCAGATGGAAAACTGATACTCCTCCAGTTCTCAGTGGCAGAGAAATCAACAAACAGTCACTTTCTTAACTCTTGACGGTTTTGTTGAAAAACATTTTCTTCCTGGCATTTTTTCCTCTTTAAATATCTCACTCTCTCATTTTTCACAATAAAGTAATTTTGGTGGAAGTAGACGAAACACCAGATAGGAGCTCTCGACTGACAGGATGATGAAATAGATGGTGGCCTCGGTCTACCCTAGTCCTAATTTCCATGAGTTTCAAGAGCACAGGCTGCTGACACAAAATGAGACAAGCAGGAAAACTGTGTGGAGCACAGACGTGAAACGTGTCCAGATACCTGACAGGCTACCCACCCTCCTCAACCTGCCCCCGGCGGGTATATTTACTATAATCCAATCTTTCGTTTGGTCTCTTTTCCCAGTAATGGGCTGCCTTTCTCCTGTGTAACCTGAGCATCAAATGCATACCATGGCTCACCCTGAAGCACAGTGTTTTCAAATAAGAAAATAATTTTTAAAGTTTTAAAGAAAATATATTGTTCAATAATAGAATCATCTTAAATAATAGGATACCAGAATGTGGTGTATGTGTGTGTGTGTGTGTGTATATATATGTGGAAAGGTGATCCCTAACTCTCAGTGCACAGAGCCATAGTTCTCCAGAAGTGATCCAGAATATTCTGAGCCAGGAATTCTGGAGGTGGGGCCCAGCACTGTGTTTCTACCAGCCCTCAAGGTGATACAAGCCAAGATCACAGAATCATTGGATTTTATCCTTTAATTCCCCTAAGCCTCAGTTTCATCATCTGTAACATGTACCTAGCACCTACTTTGCTTTCATGGGGATTAAATTTGACCAAAATTGTTAGTGTTATTATTAATATTAATCATAAACTAATGGACCTGGAGATCATCATTCTAAGTGCAGTAAGCCAGAAAGAGAAAGAATAACACCATATGATATCACTTATATGTGGAATCCAAAAAAAAAAGGACACAAATGAACTTATTTACAAAACAGACACAGATTCACAGACATAGAAGACAAATTTATGGTTACCAGGGCGAAGGGGATGAGAAGGGATTACACTGGGGGTTTGAGATTTACAGATACTAACCATTATATGTAAAATAGATAAATAACAAGTTTCTACTGTATAGCACAGGGAACTATATTCAATATCTTGTAGTAACCTATAATGAAAAAGAACATGAAAACAAACATATGTATGTATATGTATGATTGAAACTTCAGGCTGTACACCAGAAATTATCACAACGTTATAAACTGACTATGCTTCAGTTTAAAAAAATAATTAAAGAAATAAAAAGAATACATATGAAAGTTCCTAAAATGGCATAGATTTTAGCATAAATTGAAATATCTTATTGTGATGGTATAAGATAAAATATCCTTTTTGCATTAAAGAGGCAGGCACAGGGGATCAACATTGAGTGACAACATAAAATCATCAAGTTCTTTATGAAATATGGCAATAAAGTGATTAGCCGTGTCTAACCGTGTTGGCAACTGTCTGATAAATAGCACCTATTACTACTACTATTAAATTAATTTATCAGATTTACATTTTAACAGAATTAGATAAAATCTTATATTTCAATTCCAGAATCCTTTTTTCCAGAACAAGGTAAAGCTTGACTTAAGTATGCTGCTCAGAGGAAGCCTTATGAACACAAATATTTCATGAACCCCTTTTCTCAAGTAGACACAATCACATTTCCATTCAATCTTAGGATTCTTTGAGTCTATGAATGAGTTTCCAATTACCTGTTATCTCCCATTAGAATCCTATAAAATTGATGAAAATCTTTTTGTAACGATCAACTTCCATTTCATCCCAAAATCTAATGAAGAAACTTCTTTCATCCTAAATTCTAGCTAAATTTCTTTTGAGCTTTAGAGCCCTGGATAAAAGGGACGTGAGAAGGCAAGGTCCAGAATGAGGATGAGACACACATTAGGTTTCAGTTAACTACCTGGAAACGTATCTTGCAGAGATGCAGCATCCTTCCGATGCCAGCTGCTCTCGAGGGAATCCCTCTCGCTTTCCCCTCAGGGAAGAAACAGAAGCTTTACTTGCTCGCTGATTTGTAGACTCCTGAAAAACTGCAGTGAGAACTCAACAGAATTTTAGCTCAAGTGACCTCAGCTCGAGGAGCAGTGAATTGGG